TTATTATTATTATTATTATTATTATTATTATTATTATTATTATTATTTAGACAGGATTTCTCTGTGTATCCCTGGCTGTCCTAGAACTCACTGTATAAACTAGACTGGCCCCATACTTACTCATAGAATTGCTTGCATCTGCCTCCTAAGTGCTGGCATTAAAGCAGGGGACCACCACTACCTGGATCATTTTCCATTTTTTAAAAAGAGATTTATTAGGGAGAATCTGGGATTTGGAAAAATAAAAATATCAATACAATAAAAATTATCTATCTATCTATCTATCTATCTATCTATCTATCTATCTATCTATCTGTGTGTGAGGGTTTTACCTGCATGTAAGTACACATCATGCATGCCTCGTACTCTCAGAGGTTAGAAGAGGGCACTGGACTCACTGGAATTGAAGTTGCAGACAGTTGTGAGCCAGCACATGGGTGCTGGGAATCAAACCCCAGTCTTTTGTGCAAGAGCAGCCAGTGCTCTTAACTGCCATCCATCTTATAGAAGTACCTCATTTTATTTTCTTATGTAAGTACCTCATCTTATTTTTTGAGATAGGGTCCCTCACTGAACAGGAAGCCTACTGATTCAACCAGACTATGTAGCCAGTAAATCCTAGGGATCCTTTTATTTTTGTCTCCCCAGAAATGGGCTTAGAAGTATTTGGCTTTTTTTTTTTTTTTTATGGGTGCTGGGGATTTGAACTCAGGTCTTTGGGCTTGCACAGTAAACACTTAACTGAGAATTTTCTCAGCCCCAGATATTTTTTCCTCTGGTATGTCATTTCCTTGAGAAAGCACCTCCAATCTCCTGCCTGGGTACGCAGGTCTGAGTGCCAGAACTTTGAAGCTATGTTGGAGTTGGGCCAGCAAGGATGACCCTTCCAATGGGGACTTTGAAAGGCCCCTTGCTTACAGGGGTCTTACAGTGTACCTCCCCCAGGCCACTGCTGTGTCTCTAAAGACACAGATGTCTTATGGGTTTATTGTTCCTGTTGTTCAGCCTCTGCCAAGGGACATCCCTCAGCCTCTGTGGCTCTAGTGATGAAGAGGAGCCTCTGTGCAAGATGATAAGGTGATTGCTCCTCTTAGCCGTACTAGCCTCACAGGAAAGCCCCTCTCCTCTCCTAGTCCCACCTTGCTCTGTATGGGCTGGGGGGGTGTCAGTAGTGCAGCGCTTGCTGGTGTGCACTAGGCCGCCCTGGAGCCCTGTGCCTACCTGTCCGAAAACACACACACTCAGGGCTCTACCACCTACCCACACCCAGGCTTGATACTTAGTCCTTGAAATGTTGTCGTTGTTTTTTTCTCTTCTCTCTTCCTCCTTTTTGTTTGTTTGTGTGTTTATAGCTTTAAGATAGGCTCTTACAGCCTGGCTTCATGGCACATACCTGTAATCACAGCATTGGGGAGGCAGAGA